GCATTTGTAAATGCAATTTATATATAATTCAAAACTATATAAATGATAAATTAGCGTATATGAATTATCTAATTTTTACCTAAAATTGTTTTCAAAATTTATTTTGTAGGTTATATGGCCGACTTTAAACATTTTGGGGACTTAAACCAAAATTTGTTAAGGTGCTTACGAATGAAAAGTGATTAAGCAAGTTAACACAATGATTTTAGTCACGCTTCAATGATAGCCTCATTTTTAAATGTCAACCTTCTCAAGAATATCAACAGCGTTTTTGGAGAATTATACTATATAGAAGTATTTTTCTAGATTTTCTTTAGTTTTATTTAGATTCAAAAACATTTTTTACTAATACATTTTTAAGAGTAAATCGAAGTACACTTTTGAGGTTTTAATAATTGTATATTGCGTTTACATTGAATTATTATATCTTTGAAATTAAAACCATTGTTCGAATATAAAACCTAACGCATACTGCAAGCCTTGGCATTTCTTGATAAATTTCAAATAAAACTTCAAAGGCCTTGGTGATAGTGAGAATTTAGAACTTACAACACTTGGCCTATTATAACTATTCAAAAAAACGTTATTTAGCTTTTATTCCTGTCGTTTAAAATAAATTACATGAGTATAATGAATCCTAGGGAATATTATGAGTTTTGGTTTACGAGAAAACAACTGTTTAGTGTTTGCTGTCATACGAAAGAGATTTTGTCCGTTCAAAAATAAATTAGTGCGACGATTTTTATTCTTATGTCTATTTACAGATTCTAACTAGCCTTAGGGTCAAACACATCATACGCATCAAATTAGATGAAATTCGTATGTTGGTCCAGCTTCCAAAATCAAAGGTAAAATTGCAATCGGGTTCGTGGAAACCGGGTTTAGAAAGGGTGAACAATCGGCGAATGCTAAAAAACCGGCTCTTCCCAGACGAAATAAGCGCAAATCCAACAAAAATCGAAAACATGAAACTCCAAAGAAGCCGCTGTATGTAGATGTGGGCAGACATTTGAATAGCGGCAGTAAATAATGCAGCGGACAATAAATAACCTCAAACATCTCGGACGCGTCCTTTAGCGCCAATTAATTAAGCGGGAAGGGTTCAGTTTTAGCGGGAAATTTGCAACAGTGATAATGCATAGAAGATTAAGTAACCTTAAGCAGACTTACATGAAAGGTTATTAGATAAAATAGAGTAAAGAGTAGATATTTTAGACGTGGGGCTTCTTTGTTTACTCTACATGTACTCTGTGATACACTTTTAGAATTTATAATCTAATATTTTGTATCCTAACGTTTATACTGTGTTTTCCTAACCATTAATGGGAACTACACAAAATAGCAAACTGTTCATAAAAAAGTAAAAACAATACAACTTGCTGTCATTGGTTTATTGATTAAAGCTTAATTAATTAATTAATTTAAACTACACAAAATAGCAAACTGTTCATAAAAAAAAGTAAAAACAATACAACTTGCTGTCATTGATTTATTGATTAAAGCTTATTAAATCGGATATTCGATAAAGAAATGCTTTCAAAATTGGTTTATTTCCAAGCGAGCAAAACGATTTTTAAATACATTCCCCGATGATGGTATTTTGTTTTATTCCCAGATATTAAGGAGGAAAATTTTCACATAATTTGGACTAAGAAAAAAACCGAAACTAAATCAGGAAATCACAAGAGAATAATAAGAATAAACATACACAGTATAAATACACAAAACATAGAAGTGACGAAACAAAGATACACCTAATCTGTGTGAAAACAAAAATCAGAAAGTATATAATAATAGAATATTAGTCTGATCTTGACCTTAACAACATAACACATCCCCTTTACGAACCAACAATGAATTTAATTTGCATAGTAGCTTATATTAGTTAATTTTGACCTTTGAAATTAGCTAAAACAATGCTAAAACGTAGCCAAATCTTTTGATTATAATTATTTTCCCACGAACAAAAAAAATTTTGAGTTATTTTAAAGTTATCTATTTTGAATTATATTGAATGGGGTTGGTTTGAATGACATAGATATTACAGAAATAGTTAAAATAATCTAAAAAATCAAAATATCCCCGATCGATTTAAAACAGAGATTGATTAAGTACTTCAGTCAAAAGTATATATATTCTAAAAACCATTATATAAACTCTACTATATAGGTTGATAATTCACTAAAGTTGGTTAAAACAAGATTCAATGTAATGAGTTTGAAATTATCAGGTAGCGCCTGGATTTGACAGTTATCCGCACAACAGTTAAGTTGTGGTAAAACTGTCATGGAAATGCAGGCGCAACCGAAATTCACTGTGTAAACTCGCAATACAGTTTGACAATCTTTTCACATCACTATTTCAATTTATATTGAATAAAAAAAATATTCTTCTAAAAATAATTAAGTATAATTATTCAACCTGAAATAAAATATAAATTGCCACAATGTTAGATAAAATTTTATGTCAGAACCAGGGGTTGAAATGGTTGGTATTAAAACATTTACAATCCGGAGATCAGTTTTTGGCAAAGTTCCGAGCGTTTTATAACATTTCTAACACAAACACACATTTATTGTAGGGATTATTGGTAGTTTACAATACTTGTGTACCAAATGATCATTGAGGCAAGAACTTGAAAAAATCGAACCTAACTAGATACCTACAAATGTTGTATACCATAACCAAACAGTATTTATTTTTAAAATCCAAAAGTATGCTGATAGAACTATTTGATCTTTGCGTAGGCCCAAGCTACAGTCATGCAGAGTACTTTTTCAACTAAACAATCTTGACTTTTCCATCAATTTACATTCTAGATGACCTTTTTGAAACAAAACTTTTATTTTCCTGATTCTGCTCTACTAAAAGTCAATAAACATTGCGCCGTTCATTTAACTTGCCAATTTCTACATCTTAAAAAACAAAACATCTTAAAAAACACACACACACATTGTTTGTACACCCTGTATAAAGCTTTTAAACTCACTTCCATTATCCCAAGTTGGAACCAAGCAATTTAAAATTTAAAAAAGCTAAAACATAAATTGCTAAATATAAACTGTTACATTGTTCAAGAATTCCTTAAGTGTTTTGAATGCTTTGAGTGAGTGAGTGAGTGAGTGAGTGAGTGAGTGAGTGAGTGAGTGCGATGAACGAGCGAGCGTGTGTGTGTGCACCTACAAATGTAGTAGATAGTGTTATCGGTTGGCCTCATCCTTGTTGTACACTTCATTATTTAGATTGGGAATGAGGTTAAGAATAAAGACAAAATTTTGGAAATAGCATGATGCATGATGTTGTCCATGAAAATACCTCATCTAAATGTAATTTTAATACGAATTTAAATTAAGTAGTTTTTTCTTTGATTTTTTAGTTTAAGTATTTAGCTTTATTAAGAAAAGGATTGTCAAACATCACAGAGAGCAGGTGTCATTTTTTATGTTGAGCTAGGCTGATTTAATGTTTATTTTTAGATTATTATAATTTTTCTATTGACCACACAACTTGATAAAGTGGTCAGTTATATTTCCAATATTATAAGTGTTCATACCTTGTAATTTTTAATGGAAATAAAATCATTTATTCATTATTCATTTATTTATTCATATATCATTGTAAATATTAGAATTAGTAATTGTATAATAGTGTAGTATTTTTTGTACTGTTGTGACCTGGCTAATGCAAACTGTATTATTATTACTTTGGCCCAATAAAATTATTTGATTTGATTTTATAAAGATTTTAAGTGTAGAAAAAAAGCTTTGGTTAAATTTCGCAGACTTAATTCACTTCTTTTGTTCTGTAGTACAGTAACGAAATATTTTACTCTATCCCATAGAAGCAGGCAGGGTTTGAGTGGTTAATGCTTATCCACCAGTCATTTATCAAGATTGAGATGAAATATTCAGCCCTTTGCCCTTTACAAGTTATGTGCATTAAAGGGCTGGACCTCATTCATCATCTCTTTAGAAACTCTTTATTGAGATTACAGCTAAAATATGTACAAGGTTTGCTTAACTACCCGCGATGTATTAATTTACCTAACTCACAAAGTTTGCGAAGTGTTTAAAATATTAAGTACCGGTAGCTTTTTACAAAGTTTGAAAACCCTTGGTCACTGGTTTACATTCTAACCACCTCATTCAAAGAGGTGTTGTTGAGGAGGTGTGTGAGGGAAAGAGGTGTTTGTATTTTATCACAAATGGAATGGTAATTGAGAAATCATTGTTTTCTGTATTTTCAAAAATTTTTTTTGAATTTCCTTGAAAAAAGTGAAAATTGTAATTATTTGGAAGCTTAATTGTTAAATGGAAGGTATATTAGTTTGATTAATCAAAAATATAAATTGCTGTTAATTTATCACATGGTTTTGGTTAGGTTTGAATTAAATTGATGTAGGAGAATACAAACCAATGTTAAGTTGTTTCCTATTTTTTTTTTAACTTTTGACATCTTTCAAAATTGCTGTAAAACGACTCATGGAGTTTTTCATCTTCATAGTATAATATTCCTAACAATAGTTAATTTAATATGTAGAAAATACATTGGAACAGCATAGTAGCAATTTGATAAGGTTTGTGTTTTATGAAAATGAAACAAAGACCAATAATCTGTTTTTTAAATAATGATTATCCTTGATTTCAAGTAAATGGCTAAGTTTCATAAAATCTCTGTACACCTTTACTAGAAACCAGTAGGCACCAGTACCAGGGGCGGTTTATATTATCTGACATTTCTACTTTTTATGTTGTATCTTAAAAAAACCTTCAAAAGGTAAAATATTTATCTACTACTGCACAATTTTTTTTATAATTAAGTCAGAACATTAGTAAATATATATTATATTTATAAATTACTTTAAAAATGGGATTTTACCCTCTATGGCACATCAAAACTCAACACTGTAAAGCATAAAATTCACAAACTCCTTAATAAATTTAAAATTCATTGTTTGATAACTAAGAGGATTTTTTATGGTTAAAAGACAAAAATAAACATATTTTAAATAATTTTATTTTGTTCATATCTATAAAAATGTTCTATTTACATTGACAGCAACATTTGATACATCACATTCCCTTTAAATGTTAAAGTCATCTACCTACATTTAAATACTGAAGATTTAATAAATAGACTCTCAATCGGTAAAGCCACATATAGTATAGTTCACATTTAGACATTTGATAAATAACAAACACTCTTCACATTTAATCGTTATTGTCTTTTGATTTGTTTATCAGTAATTGTATACAAAATTGTAATAAAGCTTCTTTCTTACAAATTAAATAACACAATTTCTTATATATAAACAATTATTAGATAAATGTCATTATTACATAAATATTCCTTTTAGATAAATTATTACAATAAAAATAGTTTCATCTCAATTACACCTCTAAAATATGTATACAACTTAAATAATCTATCACAACCTTAAAACTGTCATGATCAATTATATGAGTCTTAAGATATTTAAGTTTACAGTTTTATTTTTATATAGTTAAAATACAAAATTTATTCCAACCGCTACTGTTTTTTTTTTTTTAGCATCATAGCTATTTCGCCTCTTTTAGATCAAATATTTCTATTTAGGATAATTAATAGTTACTATTACTATATCATTTTTTAAACCCTTTGATTCAGGTTTTAGCCTGAGGCTATCAAGTAAAATATAGGACACTTTTAAATTTTTTGAAGTTGTTTTTAAGTTTGCCATCATGAGAATGTTTTTTTATTCTCTGTCAGTTTTGTGCAATGTCACACTCACTCAAGCACTAGACTCTTCATTTCCAGGTACGTGTTCTAAATCAGTCACAAGACTAGGCTATTCCAAAGGTTCTTCTCCAGGCAATCCAACTGACCTGCAGCTATGCTACTGGAAAGTGCCAATTCCATTGCTTCTACTTTGTCACAGTTCTTCACTTCTACAAGTGGAAGTAGCAACCTCTGTTGGGGTGGAAGTAATAATTCTTCTCTACCAATTTCATCTTCTACTACCACCTCATTTTGGACCGCAAACTGTAGTAGGCGTACAGTATGGACACGACCGCTATGATCGATAACATGCTTATATCTCTCCAGTAGTCTCCGTACCTGAAAAAATAAATTTTCAAATTAAACAATAAAATTAAACGCAACATTTTTTAACTATAAATAGTGTAGCTCTAACTGAAAAAATATAGTTTTGTAGAAAGATTATGAAAATTACAATTTGTTTAATATTCTTTTTATTCAATTCAGTTGATATCTGTAGATTATTTCTCAAATGCTTCACACGGTTCATACACAATACACACTACTGAGAATTTGTTTAGTGTCTACGAGGATGGTGCGTTAAAAAAGGTCATGCAAACGCCATTGAGGGAAAGCGGTCCAAACTTGTTTAAAGTTTTATGGGTATACCGGTAATTGAACCCGTCTCCAAGGTCCGCTACCCTACCCCATGCCAGCAACATACCCACTATGGATTGAGGTAGGATACAGATTAGAACAGGATCAAATCTGCGTCCAAGCCAATAAAACATAACAAGGAGGATGGTTTGCTTTAAAGAACTAATTTTCGGTAGTCCTTCCTTGTGTAGTTGTGACAGTTATTAACTCATTTTTCATACCCAGTACTAGTGAATTTGTATGAGAAAACTCCATAAAAGTCAAACTCACTAATATTGAATCACAGTTCATTCAACTTTTGCAATATTCCTCAAATCAAAATTTTGTTTAAGAAGGAATCAGGAAAATTTACATGTATTAGGAGAGTTGTTGTGTCTAGTGTGTATTCTAACGCAAAAATTAATCAAAAATAAGATAAGTGTACAATGATTGAGGTTATGTGGCTTTGTAACTGACTACGGATATTTATTAGTCCAAAAACCCTGAACAACAGTGTCAAACCCACAAAAAGCTTTTGATCTTGAGAAAGAGAAAAGTCAGTTTCCTAAGATTGAACCAGGTACCTTCAGATATCTAGTTGAGCACTACAACTACTCAACTACCCAAAAAAGAAAAAAATACTATTGTTTCAAACTCCAAATAAACGGTCAGTAATCTGACACATACTTTCTTCCATTAGCTTGTGAACAACCTTTTTCATGGGTAAGCGGTGGGAGAAACTATGATATTTTATAGGGAAACTGTCAAAAGCTGTAATATTTTTTGAAACGTAATTATTTCAGCAATGGGAGGTTGCAATATTTTTTATAAAACATAAGGACCATAACACATAAGTTTTAATCAAAACCGGTTTTTTTCAAGTTTGATATTTGTTTTTATGGTGTTTTAAATGGGAAAATAACATAAGATACAACAACTTTTGAACTGTAAGTTTGACGGAAATGGGTTTTGTACCATTTTGTTCAGGATTCAATGTACTATAACATACTCTGCTTATATAAAATGTTTTGGCCATATTAGAGAAAACCCGATAGTTATTTTATGGATAAATAATCATTAAAAATAAAAATTTAAAAAAAAAAACTCCATGAGATACCATCCGTGCCTACACACAAAATTTTGTCAAAATCGCATTGTAATTGGCCTGTAGCTCTGTACACCTCCACACATACAGACACACACAGACATGACTTCGAAACACACTTTTTTGGGTTCAGGGGGAATATCACCTCAAAACTCGAGATCAAAATTGTTTACAAAAACAACACTTTTTCTATACTATAGGAGGAGAAAGTAAAAACGATGAACAATGAGAAAATGCCTTACACCATGTCCAGTTCCGTCATAACCGCAGCTGGACTCCTGTAGTGGCAGTAGTTCTGTTCACAGTAGAGATTGCGTCGTCCGTACCCGTAGATCGCCACCACCATCGCCTCCAGGGCGTATCTGAGGTAGCTGACGTACGCAGCATAGTAGAGGATCCTGGGCATGTCCTTCAGCAAGGCGAGGAAGCCAGCCATGAGGATCATGAAACAGATACCCACGGCTCCCAGGAAGATGCCATTCTGTAATGGACCAAAATGTTGCTTAATTTTGCGGAAAGTATAATCAGGTAAAAATGAATTAAATGTTAGATTTAAAATAAAATTACGTGTTGAATATACTATTCTCACAGGTCTTTTGTCATATTGTTGGTAAGATATAGTCATTTTGGCTTGCCAACTACGATTAACTACGTTTCTGGTGTTCTAAGAGAAGATTACATTTAATTATTAGCACGTAATTTACAAAACTGAGCACAATCTTATAACCGTAAACTGTACCAATACCCCAAAATGTAGTTGTAAAGGCTGGGCTGAATGAAATCTTCAAATCGTTTTGATAGTGCTCTCGTCTAAAAAGTGAACATTTCCAAATCTTTGACAGGTTACCAGTGACTCTTAACACCTTTTTTCAGAGGAATTGTTTAGAAGAGAATAAAGAGTTATTTGCTTTACACTTTATAATCAATAAAGCAGTACTATGCCATCACCAAAGAGATGTCTAAAAGTGAAGACCTTCTAGACCTTTAGTCTAGAAGTCTAAAGGTCCTAATGATGATTAGGACCTATCACTTGTCTTATAAAATGATCTATTGCTTTCATGAAGTGGAGGTTCTAGGTCTTATCAAAGGGGAGCTACTAGGGGGTTTGGAGGGTAAGGAACAAAATGAGGGGGGTCCTCCCTCGGAAAATTTGATATTTTAAAATTCTTTTGTGACTCTCTGAAGCAATTTTTAAAGTATAGAAAATCTCCATTCAGATTTTAGGCTTTTAGCCCTTGTAGCCCCCCTTAGGACTGCCATTGCTTGCATGAAAATGGCTTAGTTGAAATGTTCGTAGTTACTTGCAGGTACTTACCACAGGGTTGATGGAGGTGCCAAGACCCAGACCCATACACTCTGAGATGACGATCACAAAGGCATTTACCACAAGGAACATGAGGAACCTGTCTCTCTCCAGAATCTGAGAGGTGAGGTAGTAGGAAATGCCTACGTAGATAACACAGAATATCATCTGGAAACAAAATGCAATTAGCAACTTGAGAATATGCCGAAGCTATGGTTTTAGCAAAACTGATTCATAAATTCTGGAAAACTAGGAATGATCCATTCCCGCTCGAAAGCGGAAATGAGCTATTTTGCGTACTGTTTACATGTGTGACAATGTGATTATTTCAATGCAGGGGTACAACAATTTTTTTAATACTTTTTAACAAAATTAATAAATTAGAGGAACCTATCACTTTAAGTCTTTAATAGCTGGAGAGTTAATACTAGATAAGTGAGAACCCTGCAAGAAGATTTTTAAAGTTGCCTTGTTGGGGACTGTAACAGACCTAGTTGCTATTAGCTTCTTTTTTAAAGAAGATTCGACTGTACAATATTCTACCTTTGCAATTAGAACTTTTGCTCTCACGCACAATTTTATAAAGCTTTAACTAGTAAAATGGTGGGCTTACCTGCATGGGGATATTAGTTATTTGGAAAGCTATGTAGAATGTCCGTAGTTTATACCAGTGGTTAAACTGTTCTTTCTTGATTACATTAAGCTCTGATGGAACTGCAAAAGAATCCTTGAATTAGTATACAAGAGTTATAATTTATTAGGCATACGGCGTACACTTAATCTGCTATCAACATGTAGACTAAGACTATTGAACTTTTGATATTGAAATTGTTAATTTAACACAATCAATACCAGGGTGGCTGCTAGGAAACACGTTATGTTGATGAACCATTATAAGAAGCATTAGTACTTCAGCTCAGCAGGGCGGAGTAAATTAAAATAATTTTGGACCCCACCTGTGGATAATATTTACACATGTAAAAAAAAACACATTAGGTAAAGGAGAAATCTCCAAACAAAAAAAAAACACTATTCTGGATATGTGGCACATAATTCATGTGCACATTTTTCCTTCTAGTAATTTTAAAAATGTTCTAACTGAATGTCCAAAACTTCTGTGTTGCTATCTCACACTGACCTCCTGTTAGAAAATAAATTTTGACAGAAGGATTTAACCAGCACCTTTTGGAACACTTTAACCACTCAATTATCAAGCTCATCATATTATCAGATAGCAACATGTTTCCTTTAAGCTTTAAGCTTTAAGCTTTAAGAATACTTAAACATAGTAAATATGAAGTATTGAAATCTAAGTTTGCCACAAACTACAGTAGAACCAGTAGCTTTAGATCAATTTTGTACTTAAAAAAAGGAAAAATATATAAATTTATGTGTTACTTTTGTAAATTAATTTGACCTTGCAGGCAAGTTTTGTAAACTTGGCCAGGTCAAGATATATCTTGTACATGAATTTGAATTTTGAAGTGTTATGATTTCCTCTCCGATAAACTTGATACAATTTCATATTGTTTTCTTTAAAAAATCAACATGAAACGTTTCTTATAACTAAAATAATTAAAAATACATGATAGAGCATTAGCATCTTGAGAGTGAGAGCTTACATTTGAGAATGGCTGGCATCAGAGATGTATAACTGAGGTACACTGCCGAGCAGATGAAATATCCTACGTTGCTGATAGACTTATCCCCATCCATACCACACTTCTGGAACAAAGCTCCGATCATCAGACCGACCACTACGTGGAGAATCAGCTTGAGGTAGACCACTGTCTGCGAACAAAATAATGTTAAGTAATAAATAGAACAAAAAATTTAGTAATTAGTATCAGAGCAAAGCTTGGGTGCAAGGGGATTCACATTGAATCTGATTTAGACATGAGCACCATTATAGTATGTTTCAAGTAATTGTTGAAAGAAATAAGTATTAGCATAGACAAATAGAATAAATATAGACTTCTCGCCCTATGCTACCAGCAGACGCTGAAGCGGTGTGCACCATAACTACACGGCACTCCTAGCGGTGGACGCCTATGCTAACCGCAGTACTGCTGAGGGTCCATATTTAATTCTTTTTGTCTATGGTATTAGTTTTGAATGTTTTCAAATAATCCATTTCCTGATTAGATCTTATAAGGGATAGTTATCGCTGTTCATAATTAAAATTTATATACTTAAGTGTGAATGGTGTTGTAATGATTCTAATTTTGCATCTTCTCAAGACAGAGGTTAACGGAACAGCTGAGTGCAGTAGCTGGCCAAGCCAGGTGGGATTGAATTCACCAACCACGACCACATTTAAGGGAGAGAAATCCGAGCCTCTTACATTGTTAAAGATATTTGGGAATTTTATGCATAACAGGGTTTGTTTTATGCATTACAAATCCATCAACCCTAAATAATAAAGATCAAACTGCACATTCTAGTTTAGAGGGTTTCATATCCCTACATTATAAATTTAATAAGAATCAAGAGTACACATACAGTATATGTACTCAAAAAGAGGTAAGATTGTGCCAACTTCCCATTTTATTCTATGATAACCTAAATAATGAACAATATAAAATGAGAGGTATCTTTTGCCCTTTGCAGATCACACTAAATATTTTCTAATGTAAATATTTTACTCTAATAATAGTATTGCATTTAACTTACCCAATCCCTAAACATCAGTTTTATTGTTTTCCTCACTAAAATCCTGAACCTGTAGAATTCTGAGGGAGGATTTTGGTGATTAACTGGGATATCCCCTTCCACTATGTCTGCTTCTGGAAATCATATGACAATTTCTCTTATAATTATAGTTCTTTCCACAAAATAATATATCACACATACATTACAATGTCAAGTAATTGTATTAGACTTGGCTGTGTCCTGAATATTTAATGCACTAAGTAATAAATTGATCAGATCTGTATAATATATGTGCGTATTCACATTATGTCAAGATAACTGGTTGCCACACCCTTTAAATTGCACTTGATCGATTTATGGCTTATTGATATGACATACTTTGAGAGGTTTGGTTTTAATTGCGGCGTGATTCAAAAGACTTCAACTGTTTTAGTGGTGCTACCAATACAATACGTTTACTATCTAACTGTTCTTCAGTTTCAAAAAATTTCAGGTTTTCTTGTTTTTGAAGAAATTCGTAATTCAGGTAGGTTTTAAAACAATTTAAAAATATATTAGTATCTAGTCACTGCTCTATCTAGTTCACTTATCATTATAATGATTGTCTGAAAAAGTATTTTGGTGTAAAGTTAACTTTAACCTTGTATTAGAGAAACATTTATTTTTTCTTAATCGTAAGAAATTCTGTGGGATGGATTGTACTGCTCCAATATGTATTTTGGTTTATTTGTTATCAGACAACCAATAGTTTTCCTAGTTTAATTGTTAAATGGTTGATCAAGTTAAAGAGTCCATTTTAGATACCTTTCTGTTTGATTGGGGGAGCTCTCCATATAGAGTTGGTAGCGTTGTCAACGAGTTGTTGAGTGTGGTCCCCAAACTCTCCTGACACTACGTCCAGCACTGCAATGCAAGAAATAGAAAAAACTTTTTAATAAAAATATACATGCTTGGGACAACCATAGATACAATGCACAATGACACAGTAAAAAAATGACACATTCTTTGCTTCAGAAGCTTTGGAGCATTAAAAGTGTTCCTCCATAGAAATCTTGCTTGATTTTTTAGTAAAATTCATACAAATAGTTTTAGTAGATTTTTGTACTAAACATCAGGCTTTAACTAGATTTTAGATTTCAACAAGACAAGGATTTTGTCCATTTACAAAACATTTAAATATGCTAACAGCCATGAGAAATACAATAGATGAATATAATATCAAAAACTTACTGAAGTCAGAAGGGTTGTGGTACTGGGGGCAGGGCAGTCCTATACTCTGTAGGAAGGGTAACATGTTGTTGGCAGAGCCTTGGTAGACACAGTAGCCGTTGCCGATTATATAAACATGGTCAAACATTGCCAGAATGGTGGCCGAGGGCTGGTGAACCGTGCAGATGATGTTCCTTCCACCCTGAGCAAGGTTCTTGAGGAGAGTCACGATCTGAAGAGTGCTGCGGCTGTCCAGGCCCCTGGAAAAATTTAACTGTTCTTCAGGACCAGCATAGACAAATAGAATAAATATAGATTGTCAAAGAAAGGTTCCACAATGTGCCCCTATAGCGTGCTCGGTGTTCGATTCGCTGCCGTTGTCGGCTCCTCGCCGTATGCTACCGGCAGACGCTGCAGCGGTGTGCGCCGTATCTACATGGCAGTCCTAGCGGTGGACGCCAGAAAACATACTAACCGCAGCACTACTGTCAGTCTATACAAGTTCAAAGTAGGACTTCTGTAAACACTAATTGTCAAGTTGACAGATATGGCATCTATAAATGCTAAATCTTGATCAAAAATTTTCGGAATCATGGCGATGTCATGGATGGAATATTATGCACAAGCATTTGTGATGCTTATGGATGATTATTCATTAAGTCTCTTTGAAAAGTTGCTTTGGGTGTGACTAGAATTTGTTAAAAGTCATAAAGGTAAATAATAAGGTTGTTGAAAATAATGCTGTATTATGACAGGTTCTTGAAGAACCTACACTCTTTAAATGTTATGTATACTGGTGGTCTTTCGTTCAACAAACTTAAGCTCTTAACATTTTGGTAATAAAGTGACACCATGAAATCTACTAGAGCACATCTCCATAAAAACAAATTGCAACATTCTAACCTCAAAAGAGTCAGAGGATTAGTGGTTCTTGAAGTACAGAGCGTCATGCAGGTAGAAGATTTAAATAGTTTTCAAACTAAATAATAATATTAAACAGAATATCCGAGAGTAATAAAAATTCAAGCCCCTACATTATTTTAGCGTCAATATTTAAATACTTAAAATTACAATCTAAAGGTAAAGTATTTGTAAACGTTTCACAAATTGTTTTCCTGTAGGAAAAGTTCAACTTTCCTCAAACAAAATCAGTCCTTAATTATACAATACCAAAAACATTTGTGACCAATCTTTCTGTCAGGATAGGATGATTAGATGATCTGTAAAGTCTTATGTTTACAAGTTGTTTTGTTCATTGTGGTTCAATGTATTCACGAAATTAAAATGTATAGGATTTATGGTTTCAAAGCATGATTCCTTCTTTTCATCTGCTAAATGCTTTACCCTAGCTGTTGGTGAAATTGTAGCTTGCTACTGCGATGAGTACCCAAAGTTATAGTACACGTCAGTCATGAGTAGGGAACTGACTTTCAAGATTACTCATCTTGCACCCACAAGAAATTCTCGATTCATCCTAATATACTTTACAAATCAAAGTCTGCATTGTTTAAGTGAAAGAAGAAATGTAACTCACGTTGTTGGTTCGTCCAAGAACATAACAGGAGGATTGTTTATCAGTTCGAGAGCAACTGATAACCTCTTCCTCTGACCACCGGAGAGTCTGTTACACTTGGTGTTCATCGTCAAGCTCAGTCCCACGTTCTCTAGGATGTCCTCGATCTGTGAACAAACGTGTTTGTGAGAATCCAAAATAATCAACTTTCACAGAAGGAAGAAAAGGTGTAAGATAAAATGCGAAGTGGTGTGATGCCCCTTCAAACTATTGACTCATTGATTAACTAATTGTACCTTGTCAACTAGTGTGTAAGAGTCTCGATAGGGAAATCACAAAAAGTGTTACCAACTTGAGAAAAACTAAAGATAACCAAAAGGTTATGTAGGGTTCCCAAGATTGAATTGGAGGGTTTAAAGAGTGTTTCTTTTTTGAAACAAGTGGTACTTACCTCAAAGTCAGATATAACCGTGGGAACAAAAAGATCCATTAGGTGATATGTCTTAAAAATTGTAAGAGTGGTGCAAAGGTTTTGAAGACATACAATATAGAAATTAGTTGTAGTAAGGATATATGAGAGAAGGGAAAACAAGAGTAAAAAGATGAAAGATGTTGTAAAATGTAATTTTAAACTGCTCCACAAAACATATTTCCAAACCAAAATAAACAATGTACATTTCACTGAGTAGTTCTTTCTTTCATACTTGCTTTCACAGACTGGACTCAAAGTTATGATGCATCACAAAAGAATGATGGAAATGCATTGTCAACACCTGCTAAAAGACCAACAGTACTATCAACCACCGACATCTAAGTTATTCCTGATCTTTTGATACTCACAAGAATAACCTTGGCCTTCCTGGACATGGACTGGTCCAGTTTGAGCTCCGAGGCGATGAGCATAATCTCCTTGACGGTGAGAAGAGGTGTGAGATTGTCGTCCTGCATGATGTAGCAGCAATCCTTCCTGTTGAGAGGAATCAGCTTGGTCGTGCCGTTCTTGCGGAGTCTGGACGCACAGGAGATGTTGCCCTTCATGCCTTCCTTCCTGCAAAGAAAAGTGGTCTTAGTCTACTATCTGGTGGGACGCCAAGATGATTATAGTTCATAATGGGATTTGTGAAGGAAAAAAACAATAAATGTCTATTTGCTATGAAGGATAGTTGATTAGGTGTTTTCAAACCAGTCATAACTGCAGGTGTTTAAAAAATAATTAACAATTAAAAGTACAAAGAAATCAGAGTGTAGGCCTACAATTAACCGGGATTTGTAGACAGCTCGAAGATAAAGGTTAGCGAGAACCACGAAGGTGGGCAGATATGAATAAATGACCGGGAAGAGGGGATTGAAGGAAGAGGAATAAAGGGCCGATGAATAACTAATGCAGAAAACCGAATTAATTCAAAGAGATCGAAGATGAAGGTAAACCAGTGGCTGAGACTGGACTTTATCGAGTAATTGATTTGAATGGTTTATGAATCAGCACAAGAACTCAGTGTGAAGTATAACTAATTATTCTTATAATGGATGATATGTCTGTGGTCTTAGTAGTTAATTGTTTAAAGTTAAGTATTATCTCGTTTCTCATCGTCAAAAAGTACAATTAACTTTCTGTTGCAATTATAGTATAATATTCAAGCATACAAACAGTTTAGGGCTTAAAATAAGTAACAATCAAGTGTAACTTATCCAAAATATAATTCTTGTCAAAACATGAATGGTAGTTGACAATCCATTATTGTTCAATATTTGCCTTTTTTATCGTCTGAACACCAGATGAAAGGGTAAACAAACAAGATGAACATGCGTTTACACACAGATAACTCTCCCAGTCTTCGGATTGGTTTATCTCCTGTTTTCAACACTTTGTTTCATAAATTTCTACACCCAGAGAAACAAGAAACAATTTACTAACGACTGTATTAATTTATTGAAATGAAAATACATAATTTGTTATGTTCGAGGACTGAAACAGTTTGTTTTCAAGTTTACAGTGTTAACGAATACCTTTGACTATCAATTAATATTTTAAGCAAAGTTAATTGCTGATTGTAAATTGGTAATTCTTTGTTGTGAGCAGAATTTTCAACGATTTGTGTCATTAAAACAAAAAGAGTTTTTGCTCAGAATATACTAATATTGTTTATTTTTGACCCAGGACGCTATAGGAATGTTTTTTCAAGTTCATTCATACTAGGCCTAGGGGTCACGACATTATCGCTTAAATCAAATCCTTTGGTGATTGGCAGAATTTGAACCCAGGACCTCAGGGACGAAAGTCCCGCTTTCTACCCTTAGACAAGCCCGCTCCCTAGAACAATAATAGTGTCACACTAGGACTAGAACTAAAAAAATTGAGTCAAAAAATATTTTATTAAAACATTATGACATTTTGCCCAACAGGCTGTGCCATTGCGCCCATAAAAACATTGTAGATCATCAGATTCGAATGAAACGTCAGGATCTTTTCATAATGTTAACACAAGCAGACAAGGTTAATTACGTATCCCCTCCATTGCACCGACATTCCTAAAAGACCTTGGACATCTGCGAACGAGCGCTGAATGTTTAATATTAGTTAATTATCGAGAATCAAAACGAGTCTGTTATATGATTTAATTCGGATTAGTAGGTCAAGACCAACTTGTGCACATTCGTATGTGGAATCTTTTAGCTAAATTGAAAGTTGGTTCATTTCCGCACTTAACTAGAAATGTGAGGTCAATGTTAAGTTGAGATTCAGTTTATAAGCGTTGTTGATAGTAAGATTTAGATATCAGGAAAATCGTTTCAATCAATGTTGTAAAAGAAAGAAAAACAACGTCACTTTTCTCGGTAATGGGTTGTGACTCAATTCGTTATGAATTAGTAAAGTCTGTATGGGAGGACTAACAAGAGGATTCTCGTTCACTATAGTCTTTGAGACAATTAAGAAAGAAAACTATTTAACTTAATGGAGATGTTTTGAGTGAGTTCAACTGAGTTAGTTTTAATAGTTTGCCAATTTAGACCTGTCGTCACTAGGTAGTTTTTATCGTTATCTAAAAACAAAATCGTCAGGTTTCACAATAATGTAATCACTGCAGTAAATATTTGGTTAAGGATAAACCATGAATTAGTAAACTAATGATAAAATAATAATGGTACGTAAGTCTTATGTTTTGCTACGTTTGGTGAAAGTGTTAACATTTTTACTGCCTAAAAACCACATACTACTAAAATGAATAGGTTCACTTAACTTCATTTTATTTCATATTCATATTCATTTTCATTTCATATTCATTTTATTTAAATTTTATTCCAAGTGAATAAAATGAAAAAGGATATTGTGATTGTACCACAGATAAAAGAACTTTCAGGTTGTTTAACATAAAAAAAACTTCATTCTTCACTTTTGTGTTCTTGCTCCAACGCAAACCTAATATACAACTACAGGATCAAAATTGTGCACTCTAACGATACAATAAAAAAAGTAAAATTACATTTAATTATTTAACTCAAATACGTTGATAAGTTAAATTTACAAACACACAATAACCAATTCAATTTTATGGACAAATTACCAGGCTTGAACACAAACCTACTGATAATATAAATTAATACTCCAGAATTATTAAGTGGAAGTAAACCACGATACAGTGTCATAACACAATCAATTATATGAAATTTGCGACATTTAGCAAAATTATAATTGAACTTATGTTTGCGGATATAAACAAACAACGCTTACGCAATTTTCACAACTCATGTATCTTGTGTACCTTGTAATTAAGAGCAAGTTTCATTGCGAGTTAGTTTCAATGTAAACATCACGTGCTGTTTACAGTCTGGTAAATTGTATTTTAATTATATTAGTTCACTTGGTTCTGGAATAGTGATTTGTGTAACTATTGTGCGAAATGGCACTTTCCTGCACATAAGAGAAATGTTTATGTTAGGTTTCTCAAGTGCAGCAAAGGAACTTTGCACTCGTGTTACACATTATATTTTTCCTACGGTTACTAAAAAACATAAAACTAATTCGTCTTTCAAACACTTTACAACAAGTTTTTAGGTTAACTAATTTTTAGGGTTTTTAGGTTAAATCCAAACATTGGACGAAATTGGAAACGATGCACCAGCTGATCGTCGTACGTAGTAGAATATTTAATTGTTGCTAACTTATTTTCAAGCGTACACGTATTATTAATAAAAGCACACAGTTTTGTGTTGTTTAGTTGGAATACTGGAGTGTGGCAAAAGTGAGTGCGACAAAAGTAAATGCAGCAATTAGCTACTTTGCGTGTTATAATCAGTGCAAGGAAGCCCACTATTCAGGTAACAGTAGGAAAATTTATTTCTACAGCCAATTGAAGGATTTTGTATTCTATGATAGTGATAAAGGATGTTCTCTCGAAATAGCCTATTTCACTTTTAGTTTGCAATGAGCAGCAGAACAAACTTTAAACATGAAAATGACTATCGCTGACGGTAAAAGTAGGTTTGCTTGTAAAATCCTAAATTAGTTTGAATAGTTTTCTAACATAATATGTCAGAGAAATGGAATCAAAAAATAAAATAGTCCATTTACAAATTTTAATGAAATATTATTACGTTTGATATAGCTCATTAAACTGTAAACAATGCTTACAGAATCATGTTACAAATATCGTGTTGTTTACACCTACTGTAAGTTTTCAATTTTTTCATACCTTAACAGGTTTTTAGTGAAACCTGTTGCATTTGCGACTAGTCGATCGACCATTTGTTGATCGGAAATTAACTCATGTTTGCCACAATAATTCAAAGTTGAACTGATAATTGTTGCGTCATAAATGCGTGGAGTTAAATAACCAAACTTATCACAATCGAAACAAACGGAAACTTTTAACTACTTTCTAAATCGTATGCGTATCGTCAACTGTTAACCCCGGCTGATTAAAATGGGTCATCAAACCATTAAAATGGTCAAATTAGGCTGTTTGGTTTTTGACCCATGCTCCCCTCTTTTAACATTAAATAATCTAACGTTTCAGACGTGTTTTGTTAAGCATTGTTTATTGATTATTCTTAATTATTAATAATATTAACTATCAACGATCTTCTGATGAAGTGATTTTGACATCCCCTGGACGCCTGATGATGAATTCGTGAAGTCGAAACTAGTTGCGCCATTACAACATCATTTTGAATTACTAAGAAGCAGGTATTCACACCAAAATTTGTATATTCAACGTAATCCGGAAGATAAAATTAAAATACGATAACAACAATTATGCCTACAAACCAGTTCAAAATTACTCCATTACGCCTGTATTTAAAACCTTGTAGTATTTTTTCTCGAGAGTAAACCAACCCAAACACACTTATTTTAGGGTTTATTTTTCTCTGTTAATTATACAACCTCATGTTTATTGTGTGTTTAGCTACCTGTTTAATATTACTGATAACGAAAATTTTACTCTAAATCTACAATGGTTTTTGTAAATGTAACACTGTTATAATTAAACAATTCGTATACTTGTTAGGTAACTTACGTAGGCACTGGAAAAATCAATGAGAAAAGTTGACTTATTACCTAAATACCTGTTTCACCTACTTTGCACACTACTTTATATAATGAAAAACAAGCAGTTCTCCTTCATGGAACTTCTAATTATTTCTTATCGTCCTAGTGTCGTGAAATTACAGTGTTTAACATAGATAAAGCAATGTTATTAATATTCCAATTATGTCTTCATCGTAGTAATGAAACTTGTGTAAAGTTTTGCAATTGAATGATTTCATTGTGATAATGATGTTTGATCTTAGCTTCCTGTTGGTGTTGCCAATCTGAGGGTAAATACAATATGTATATTTGCTTTGGGGCGGAAATTGTTGATTGAATAGGCTACAGTCTAGTTTAATCATTTAAACCATCTGTGTTTGGAAATTATATGTTAAAAGGTTTTGTTATATATGTTGAAGGAAGTATATTGGCAGTTTTGGGGTTTAAAGTCCTTGGGAAAGGTTTACGGAGTTTTTGGCAAATATTTAAATTTAAAACCTATGGTCATATAAGGTTCCTGA